AGACTATTATAAAAAACCAAAAAAAAAAAAAAAAATAAACCACACAACTCTGGATTTCAGGACACACAGGTAGAGAGGGGAAATATTACAACTCTGGCTTTTCCTTTCACTCTTTAGGTGCTTATAAAATCCTTTGGGGTGTGGATTCATAGACTCATAGTTAATGAGGGTTGGAAGGATCCTCAGGAGGTCGCATCTAGTCCAACCCCCTGCTCAAAACAGGACCAGCCCCAACTACATCATCCCAGCCAAGGCTTTGTTGAGCTGGGCCTTAAAAACCTCCAAGGATGGAGAGTCCACCAGCTCCCTGGGGAGCCTGTCCCAGTGCTTCACCACCCTCCTAGTGAGAGGTTTTCCTAATACCCAGCCTCAACTTTCCTTGCTGTAACTTGTGCTAACTTTGTGCCCCGTGACTGGCAGCTGCGGAAACCACTTGCATTTGCAAAACACGGTTGGATTTTTTTCCCCTGAGCAAACAGCAACAGAGTCTCTCTCAAAGCTTCCTTCCCAATACAACAACATCCCCAGAGATCCCATGCTATTAAAATACATTAACGGTAATTGCTTCTATCCCAGCTAGTAGGTTTGGTTTAGCTTGTTCAGCTTTAAAAAAAAAATCCAAAAAACGATGATGTGATCCAACGGTGAGGGCAGTCTCATAGTTGAGAAGGAACGGCCAAATGGGAGTGCACAGCACATTGCATTATCAGTGTACTGCCACCTAGTTACGAGCTCACATTGCCTGGTCATTTTAGGTGATATCTATACCATGCACTTGTGGAGAGAGGCAGGTTTTATGAATATGGTTCTCATAGGGAATATGGTTAGGAGACGTTTGCTCCCAGCAGCGTGAAACCCTGACTGACATCATCATTGCAAGAGCACTTCCTCCCATGGTCCAAGTGATCCCAAACGAGTAAAGGGAGTGTGGATGCCTCCCACCTCAGACATATTCAATCCTCCTTAATGAGCTGCTTTTGACCAGAGATAGGCCCAGGTAACTCTGTGACTGAGCTTTAGGGCACTTCTGGAACAGCCCTCAGCAAAGCCTTCTGGTCAGACTGACAGCATCCAAATCCATTGCAGTTTACAATCAAGAATAGAAACTTTCAGATTAAGATGTCAGTTGTTCTGTGCATCGGAGAGGATTATTTTCCCCCCAGGCCCAGGGGCTGTGGAGATGCGTAGCTAAGCCAGGTCTCCGTGGATTCAGTTCCCTCCCGCGCTGTGTTCGATTGAAGAGGACGTTCGGTAGAAGTGCCTGCTCTTGAGTGTTTGCAAGTAGGAGCCTGTGCTTCATCCTCATCTTGCTGCGATGGTCTGAAATGGAGATGCAGTCATGAGAGGCACTTTCAAAACAAAGATATCATCAGGAAATGTTTCCTGGTATTCCTGGGTCCTTATTTTCTTGGTTCAAGGTTACTGAATCTGTTCCAAGGCCAGTGGCCTGATGCTGGTCTCATGCCATTGAGTGATGTGGTTTGTAATCACTCCCCGCTTGTTACAGTTTGAGCCACTTACAGTGGGTCACTGGGGAGCCTATAGTCCTGGGGGTCGTATGGGGCAGGAAGGTTGCAGGCAGGGGCTGTATGCAAGGAGCTTTCCCCAGTTGCATGTGAACCCTAACAGCCTTCATGACCAATTTGGTCTGCAAACCCATTCCTGGGCTTCAAGGTGCGCTGTAGGACAGAGAGTATTTGGCAGTAACCACAGTTTTGTGCTTTCTCTCATATGGGCAGGGCAGTCCGGGGCGGAGAGGACCTCAAGGGGAGCAGGGGCAACCAGGCCCCAAGGTGAGCGATGCCCTTCAACATGACCTGGGGTTTGGATTTTCTTTCATGTGGCTTGAAGTTGAGAGGCCCATACTGAAACCTGCTCTCCAATACAGCTGTGTCTGCATGCCCCAGGTCCAAGTTTAAGCTGACACCGCTGACTCAGGAGGTAGCCTCCTCGCTGTATCCGGCCACGTAGATCAGGATCGGCGCCTTTTAAAAACCAGACATGGAAAATCTCTGTAATTAGATGGAGGATGAACAATTTGTTATCCCATGCTGAGGGCCAACAGGCTTCTCTTTGCCATGGAATATGGATTAAGAGAGGATGCCTGCTCGAAGACTCTTGCAGGCATTTAGTTGCATTGGGGAAGTAAATTAACCTGATAAGTGACTGTTTAGGAAAGCAGCCTTGCTGCATCAGAAAGTGGTCATCCTTCTCCTGCTCTTCCTGCTGTCTTCTTTGATTTGGTATCTGCTGTGGTGTCAGGTATCTGAGTCGGTATGGTTGCACTACAGCAAAAATCCCAGTAACAGGTTGAATTTCTGCTGCAGAATAGCCGAGATGAGCACAAAATAAGTGTCAGTGTGTTATAGATCCATAGATGCTCAGAGAAGTAGGGCTGGAAGGGACCTCCAGAGGTCCTCTAGTCCAGCCTCTTGCCTGAGACAGGATCATTGCTATCCGTGCTGCTTTCCCCTTTGCAAGCTGACCCTATAGTTATAGAGCTAGTCAGGAAAAAGTCAATGAAAAATAGATGCAATTTTCAGCTAAGGTTCTCCCCCTCCTCCTTTATGACAAACTCCAGTCATTAGATTAACTTGCTGTATGGCTGGGCTGTGCCTGCACCTCTGCAAATCAGGGGGAGTTTTGCCTTTGACTTCTGAGGCAGCCGAATGAACACCTTGGACTTCAAAGGGAAAGGTGGTAGAGCTGAGCACGTGATGAGCTGGCATTCATGGGCTCTTCCCTTTTGCCATAGCTGCTCTGTGCAGCTGGAAGGCACAAATATGCCTTCCTTTCCTATGTCATATCTTTGCTTTGCTTTTAGGGTGAGCCAGGCCCTCCCGGACAGGTCGGCCCCCAGGGTCCTGGAGGACAGCAAGGCTCTCCAGGATCTCAAGGAATCACCGTGCAAGGTCCAGTGGTACGTGAGCACTCACGGCCTTCTCCGTCTCTTTGTGCTATGCAGTACCTTAGTGGGTTTTCAAAAGAGACAGGGTGACAAGAACACCTGAAGCCTGTCTACATCAGGGCCCACAACCTCATTGCTAGCAACTGCCATAGGGGCGCTAGTTTTTCTCGTATTGGCAAAGCACTCGACTGAATTATTTGGGGTGAAGTCTATTCTGACCTGGAGGCTCCCTTCAAGTAGAAGACCCCAACAAGGGTGATTGTGCAGTGACCATGCTTAGACAAGGCAGCGGGTGGAGATCTATGGCATACCTCCCACCTTTGGGCATACACATTGCATACGTTCCTGCCTGCCTTGCTATGAGGCCCAGACAAAATTCAGAGGTACAGAGATTGTGGTGATACCCCAGCGGGCAGACGTCACTTTGAAGGGTGCAGGGAGGTTTCTTGGGCTGTTGCAATGAGTCACCCAGAGCAAGGAAGAAAGTGGCAGAGTCTATGTAATTATTTTGCTGTATTTTGATTGAAGGGACCACCAGGGATCAAAGGGGAGAAAGGAGACACAGGAATCCCAGGCATGCAGGTAATACTGGAAGATGCTCCTTTGAATCATCTCAAGGATGGATCCACTGGCTCTCCTGCTGGATGTTATCAGCAAGGGGGTTCGCTTTCCTTATTGCCCTCTCTGCTTTGAAACCCCATGAGAATAAAAATACCTTCTACTGGTACTGACCCCACTCAGCCAAACCCATGCTAGGGCTGTGCCAGTGCAAATGTGCCCTGTGCTTGGCAAGTATTATGTCCATTTCACAGAGGGACAAACTCATCACAGATACTTGGCTTTGGGGAGACTGAACCTATAGAGGAGTTCAGAACGGCTCTGAGCAGTCTAGCCCCATGCTCAAACAGGTCAAAGGACATGCAGCTGGACCCATACAATGCTTGGCTACTTAAATGTCTGATGTGATGAAGGGAGAAAGGGAAGCTTTGTCCTTAACGGCAGTGAAAGAGCCCAGGCACCTAAAAACAAAGCGAGTGTTTCAATGATGTATCCTGTATGCCCATACCCCATTGCCCTCCTTGTCCTTATATCCCAGTGCAGATCTGTAATGGTGGAAGTAAGAGCTGGACACCAGACCTGACTAGCTGCTCTCTTACAGGGTATTCCTGGTGTCCAGGGAGCTCCAGGCAGAGATGGCCTTCAGGGAGCAAAGGTAAAACACACAGCCCTGAGCTTCAGGTGCAGGTACCAAAAAGTCAGTGAACAGGAATGGCTTTGCACCCCTGAAACCTGATCTACTTCTTGGTGCTGAAATATGGACTTTGGAGCCCAAACTGAGGCCAGGCTTTTGGATCTGGGGCATATGCAGCAGTTCCTGGAAATTGCTCCTGGGTGTGGTACTGGGGAGACACCTGCCAATGACCCCACACCTTGCAAAGGGCCCTGGAGGCCTGGTTTTTTCCTAGGTTCTTGGGGGAAGCCTGGTCCCTTTGCAGTTACCCAGTCCCTGGATGTTTTTTCTCCTTCCTGATCATGTTTGTACCTGGCAGGCTCTCGGGTGGGTGGATTGCTTCCCCAGTTTGGGGTGAGCTTTCTTCCATGGGGTGGCTGCAGCATCCTTGTTCCTTTGGGTCTCCTCTCCTGCAAGCTCTTGTTCAGTGGCCTGCGGAGTTAGTTGGTGCAAGTCTGTGTCCTCTCCTCCCAGCACAGCTGTTCACCCCCATTTGTTAACACACTATTGCCTTTGCAGGGGGTGAGAGGACTGGAGGGCACAGCCGGGCCTCCGGGACCACCCGGACCAAGGGTAAGAGCACACGCTGAGTCCAATACATTGAAGCGAAGCTTGTCCGAACAACAGGAGCTTCTGCTGGTTCCCTCTGACCTGAGTCCTCACGGGGTTGGAGCTGGGACTCTGCACGGATCCCTTCCACGTCACAACCCCCTGGGAGTGAGCAATTACATCCTGAAGGCACATGTAGGAAGCAGAGGAAGTGTTGGTCTGCACCACCTCCAAACTGTGCCAGGGAGCCCTGCAGGGAGCCACAGCACATTAGCTGCCCTTGACGTGGCATTGGGTCCATGCCGGGCAGCCTAGGATGGATGCCTTGTTGGTTCCCATCCAGCGGAGCGACATTGCTTCTGCTTCACCTTCACTGCTGCCCTCGCTCACGTGGTCCCAAAACGTGCCCCGTCTCATGTTGGGAGCAGGTGGCAAAAATGGTTTCCCACAGCTTGCTGGAGTGCTTTGCACAGAGAACCTCCTTTTAGCCAACATGATAGCCAAGTGCAAATGGAACTGGACACATGCAATCAGGATCCGTGCCTCCAAGCATGATAGCACGGCAGCTTTCAGATTAGGGCTCCCTGGGCCTCTGAATACTGAAAGCTGGAATAGAAGAGGAGCAAGGGATGGATCAGTCGGGATAGGCCCCGTGTAAACACTCCTTTCCTTTATCATCCCCTTTCTGCCACCCTGAGAGGCTTGGGCAGGGCTGGGTGGACCTGTGGGCTGACCTAGTCTGGCATCTCTTATGTAATTACATTGAAAACTCTTATTTCCCAGAGGCCTCATAGTTGTTAAGCACCAGCCACTGGAATCCAACCAAAATTATGAAGAGGAATAGCGAATTCCTGGTGGCTGTTTTAAAATATAATCCTATCCATTGCAGAGAGACACGTGGGGAGACACGTTGTGTAAGGCAGGCAGGCTTTTTTCCTGTAAAAAAAAAAAAAAATCATCATTACTAATGACGTTGCTCTGAAGAGGGAAGTGCAGCACTAATAAGAGAGAAAGGGGAGGCATGAGCAGTCCAAAAAAAAAAAAAATGCTCTGGGCTAAGACTAAAATAATCTGAATATCTAATGAAAAAGCTAAAACCTGAAGGGTAAAAAAATAAAATAAAATAAATCCAACCCACACTGCAGTTGCTTGACCATAATTGAGATGGTAATGGGAAATGATATGAACATGACTCGCACATGATTTACTCTTACAATGGCACTCATGGCTGGATGCTGCACTGACATGAACCCTAAGGGTGCAATGCCCTTGCCCGAGCCCTCGAAACTAGATGTACTGGTGTCCTCAGAGTCCCAGTGGGGAGGAGGTGGGGTGGGCAGAGGCACAAACAGCGGAGGAAGAAAGTTTGGAAGGAACTGGCCATCTCTGTAGCTGCATCTCAAAACTAATGTCTGCAGGGTTTCCAAGGCATGGCAGGCTCTCGTGGCGGCGGTGGAGAGAAAGGACCTCCAGGGGACGTTGGACCAACTGTAAGTTTCTTCCATGTTTATAGCCCTCTCAAGTGCTTAATGAGACTTGTAGCATAAGCAGAAATGAATGGTAGCAAAGTGCATTGCCATAGCTGACCATCTTTGGAGTTTGAAAGCATTCAGAAAAATCAGACCCAGTAAAAAAATAAATAAATAAATAAAACAGGCTCTCACCTGGGAGTTGGCTTGTAAAAACCTGCGTGCAAAATGTTCTGTAGCTGTTCGCTGGAGTCTGACAAAGCAAAGTACTAAATAGACTTTCTATCATTCAATTGACTTTATATTTTTATTTTTCACCGTCTCCCACATTCTCTTAAGAAGTGTTGATTTTTGCTTCCTGTTCTCTGCAGGGGCTGCCTGGTCCCAAAGGAGAAAGGGGCGAGAAGGTGAGTGCATCTTCTGGAGCTCTCTGCATCATGCACTTCTGGTGCTGCGCACAGTACTGGGGAGGACACCCGTGACACTTGTGATTCAGCTGTTGTGAAGCTGAACCACCTTGTTTGCCTATGGCCTCTTGGCTTTCCACTCCCCTGAGACATTTGCTCTGGGTGAAACTGCTATAATTGTGCAACAGTCAGACAAGGGCTAGTCTCCATAGGAGTAAAATAATTTTTAAAAAATTAATCTTTTTTACTGGGGAGGGGAGTTGATTATAATAATCAGCTAATTCATAACTCCACCTTGGGGGCTGGATAGACATCTCCATTGAAATCAGTGAATTTCCATCAGTTGAGAAGCTGATCTTCTACATCAAGAGGGGACTTTTCCCTGGTGCCTTAGGGAGCTTTGGATACCCAGTGGGCATCTCTACATGTGCACAGTTACTGTGCAGTAACCAGAAGTTATTGTGCAGTGCAAGCACATGTCTACATGTGCACACCCGTACTGTGCAGTAACTATGGTGACTTATGCTGAGTTGGGTGTAAATTTGCTACCTGCATGATGCAGATAGCAAATTTATGCCCACTTAGTTACTGCGCAGTAAGGCATGTGTAGATGCCCTACTGTGCAGTAACACTGTGTGCGCGCTCCGACTTGGGAGTAACTTTGCTCTCAAGTTGGAGCAGGCACAGTGTTACCACACAGTAATGCCTACACATGTGGATGCCAGTCTAAAAACTGCAGTAAGTTACTGCGCAGTAAATGCATGTGTAGACACAACTGAAGTGATCTGGAAACCTGTATCTCTGTGAAAGGGAAGGGGGGGTTCATCTTCCAAGTCACTTAGCTACTTTTGAAACATTTACCCTTTTCTGCTTGACCTGGCTGCTTCCAGGCTGTACGGGGCCCCAGTGTATCCACGTATGTCTTGCCCGGGCCCATAAATAGTCAGTTGATGAAACGTTTAAAAACCAGCAAAATGCAAACCACGTCTGTAACTGATGTAAATGTAGAGCTTGGCATGGCCGTGTCTCCTCATTCAGGATGTGACCAAGAGTCCATTGAGGTCAAAACACTGTGATTTAGGCTCTTAGAAACCTCCTCAATACTCTTCCCTCTTTGAAGATGTCTTTGAGACCAGGGGTAGAGCTTTTCTGTCTCAGGTTGGTACCTGATCAGGTGTGGGGCATGCGGGGAGGAGATGGGTTGGGGTAGCCTTCTTTTACAGCTTTTTCCTTTTTGATGCAGTTGCTCTCCACCCCCCCCCCCGGGCACTACGCCTGGGTTTTGTTTAATTTTGTGTAAGACTGCACATTGATCCAGCCAGAGACGGATGTTTTATAAATGGGGTTGGAAGGATTCAATTTTGATCTAGTTATGAATTTTTATGGACAGTGCCCATATTTATTTCCAAGTTTTCTCCTTTTTTTTTTAAATCACTTTTGCTCCTGCTCTGCAGAAACTTTTTTTTTTTAAAAGTAAACTCTGAGATCAGTTGCTTATTCTGAATATAATAACAGCAAGAGTCAATATTCATTCGTTAAAGATTCAGACAGAAAGCCATAAAACTGTAATATGTGAGCATATTAGTTTTCTTAAAGTATTGCAGAATATTGAGTTATGGGCTAGATGCTCTTCTCCCAGACTGCAAGCTATATAAAAATTTACCAAGAAGAGGGAGTAAATTGTGTGTCTAATCTCATGTATTAACAATAGAAATTTATTTAGTCAATGTTTCAGTGCCAGGAAAAACAATTGCCAGCATTACAATTTTACTGCTTCGGAGATTATTGATAAATAAGTTAAGGAGCCCTCTGCAGATGTTTAATAATCTCAGTCGCTCCAGTTGGTGGTAAGAGCCTGCCCCTGAGGCCTTGCCCTGTGCTCTCGGGGAACTTGCATTATTGCAGCCACCTGATTTCAAAAGCAATTGTTTTTCATTTTTCCCTTTAGGGTGAACCACAGTCTCTGGCCACAATTTACCAGCTAGTTAGCCAGGCTTGTGAGCGGATGATTCAGAGTAAGTACACCCTGATGGGTCTCTGGGGGCAGTCAGTGCTGTCCTGTACCTGCTGCTTTGCTGCTGAATTAAGAATCTAATCCATGATCCATTGACTTCAACAGGCTTTGGACAAGACCCAGAGATCCTGATCCTGTGAAATGATGAGCATTATGTCAGGCAGGAAGCTCACATAAGAGTCTCAAAGCTATGCAGTTTTTTACTAGCTTGCATTAGCAGAAAAGCTTATGAAATATTGTTTGGCATCGATGTTTCCAGCCTTGTACAGCATTTTTCTTTCCCATAGAAGACGGCTTAGATTTAAAGAATCAAGTTTCAAAGAAAATTGCAGCAATTTCTCTTAATCCATCACACAGCAGAGGAGAAATGTAATAGGGTACTAGTTTTTTTTTTTCCTTTGGGGGGATTTATCTAACCTGGACAGCTCAATTCAGATGATGCAGTTAGGATAAAGTAAACTCATCTTTGAATGTAAAAGGAAATATGAGTTTTTGCTGGAGATTGTCAGTGAGAGCCTGATGCACAGAGAGATCAAGTATTTTTCTCAAAGTCAGATAGCAAGGCCATTCCTCCGCAGAGTCTTCCCCTTCAATTCATGTTCATTACAGTTTGGACCAACAATTTAGTAGTACCTGATGATTTGTATTTAAAGCTTTTTAAGATAACTTGTTCCCACATTACTTCCCATCCGAATGACCCAAACTTTGCTGGGGTGGTTTGAACCTTTTCTGAATCCGTTGAAAGAATTTGGTCAAATGTCTTATCCAAAGAGGTTTAAAGTTTCACTGTGCAAAGCTCGATCCTTAACTGCTGTGGATCCGCTGTAGCTCTGTCAATGTTATTGAAGCTACTCCAAGTTATACACGCGAGAATCTCGCTCACCATCTGCTGCTGTGCCACGAAGTCTTTTGTCAGCTGAGCCTCTCCTCTGATGCTTCACGCTCTGATTTGCTTTCCTAGCTCACGTGTTGAAGTTCGACTCATTCATCCATGAACATACCAGGAAGCCAGTCCCCATGTGGGATGAGAGGTTGACGCCAGGAGAGCCTGGACTGCCAGGTCTTTCAGGTCCCCCTGGAAGCAGAGGAGAAGGAGGAGAAGATGGCTTCCCAGGACTGCCAGGCAAAGATGGGTATCCAGGAGAAAGAGGTATGGAGAGAGGTTTTCTTTAACCAGTGCCTTTGTGCTTTTGGAAACACTGACAAATGAAGGGCAGAACATAGCTGTCCTTTGCACAAACATGAACCTTCATCCCACTTAAGTATCAGGCAGCTATTCTGGGAAATAACTTACCTGTGTAATGGATGAGCACAGGCCATCAATAGTAAAACAGGTTATGAAAACAGGTTTGCAGAACATTATTACAGCAGCTCCGACAACAAAAGATGTTCAGACGAACAACAAAATGAAGTGATAGAAACTCAAGAGCCGTCAAGTAAGCAAAGATCAATGATTAAAACCTGTTAAAAAAAAAATCAATTAAAAAGGAAAATAGAGTTGCAATATATTTGCGTTACGCAAGTTGGTTTCCACCCAGAGAGAAGAGCATTAATTAGGCCCTCCAAAACAGAAATCTCTTGTAGACTGGGAGCCAATTAACAGTCCATTGCTCCAAGCTAGATTTCAAACTTGATAAATGAAAGTGGCAGGTAGCAAATGTTCTGCGCTAGCCAACAACAGCAACTGCCTGCAAACTCTGACAGTGTTTCCAAGCATGACACCTGTTTAGCAATGAGGAATTTCAATGCCAGCATTGTGGATGACAACCGTGGAACAGAAGAAAGAAGGGATAAGGGTGGGTCATAATGGGGAAAGACTACTACAACCTGGCCTGGCATCAGGGCTTCTCGTTGGTAAAACACTAGTCGCACACAAAAAGTATTAATTATTCACAAAAAGATGTCCCACAAACTAACCTGAATTTCTCCAGAGACAGGCCCTGAGGCATTAAATTGCCTTCCAGTATGTAGATGGTCACTTTAGATCAAGTCTTCAGGATGTCAGAGCAAACAGAAGAGCCAGCCTCAAAACTGGCCACAAACTGTGTATGGCAGGACTGCAGATTAAATTTAAAGAAGAGAAAGCCCCTGAAGACCAAGAAAATTGACAGCTAAAGGCTAATGGGCAAGACATTACCACAGTGCTCTAGATCTGGATTTTGCTGAGAACATCGCCCAAAGTAACATGCAGTCAACTAAGCAGCACAGCAGAGAGGCATCATTAATAATTAGTTATGAGGGAACAAATCTAATGAGAATCCAAGCAGCTCCCAATTCATCTGTTAGGAAAGAGGAAAGCAAATAAAAAATGAGTCTCGCATGTGAACTGATTTCAGCACGTAAGCTAGTGGGGGATGTTCAAAAGCTAGTGGGGCTTGTTCATGATGTCGTGAACCGGCAAGAGGGCAACTGCATTTATCACCTTGAACGAAGCTGAAAGCTGGAAATCCAAAAAGCATGGCTAGAGGACTGAACTACAAGGAGTAATTTTTAATACATGCAGGGAGTTATCAGCAGGTTCAACAACTGCTTATCCACCAAAACAACGCCCCCCCCCCCCCC